CTCGATGGAACCCGAGTGTGTTGGATATTTGTTGCCAATTAGTGTGTTATTGGGAACTGCAACAAAGTATAATTATAACAGACTCGAGTTGAAAGTAAGCTCCAACCTTAGTGAACTCTATTTACGATTCCCCCCAAAAACGAAAATACATTGTAGGCTTCAATAGGCTTTCCATTGCAAGCTACTCGAGAGAATTAGGTTTAAATCCGGCAATAGTTATACCACATTCAAGTTTTAAGCTTTTATCATTTTAAGTATGTTTACTTGGAGTTTATTATCTACAATATATTACAATAATAACCAAAAATAGAATTCTAGTTAAACGAAATCTGTTTTGAGAATCAGTTAAGAAATGAGAAGAAAAGTAATAATATTTGAGTTTTAAAAGATTTTGCACTAAAAATACCAAATAATACTATTGACGTATTGCGTAACTTTAATTTGGAACAATATTGGAGCTTATCAGCCAATTTAAAAAAAAAAAAAAACTTAGCACGAACAAAATAAAATGAGTATAACCAACTACTAGGTTTATTTAACGTACTGTTTATTTAAGGCTGTAAACTCCCAAAATTTTTCCAGTATCTTATTTCTAGCCCTTTTTTTTCAGTGCCGGGACAGTCGACTACTGACTGTCTATGTCTATCCATGACTGAAACTGGCGCCAGTCAACCATTTGGCTAATTGTCTGCATTTATCAAGCGCCAAACAAGGCAGAGCAAAAAAGCGCATAGAATTTATAACAATTGTTTTACAATTTTCCAGTGACAAAGGAATATCACTTAGAGGCATTGTCGTGTGTCTGGCTGTGCGTTACTTTTATACTTTTATTTTTGGGCGCGGCGCCATTTCTATTTAATATTGTGGAAATTAGAGCAGCAATCTGGCGGAAATATTTAGCCAATTGGCAACATAATTTAAGGGTAGTCCACGTTGCAGACGCCTTGATTTATGCTGCAGCTTTTATTTTCCCTTACTGTAGCCCCTCTCAAAACTTTGTAGCTCACATGTGTGAGTGTGCGCAATTGTGCACTAATTTGCAGTTAGTTTAATAAATTTCCCACTGCGCCACATGCGTGTGCGCAAAAGTTTGGCGAGTGCGGGTCGCAAACTTTTAATTTCTTGTTTGGCAAGAGGCATTGTGTCATAAATTTTTACCGCTCCACCGGGCAACCGAACTACACTAAAAAAAAGTCGGATGCATTTTTAAGATTCAATACTTAGTTTAGAACGCTAAGGTTTTTTAGTACATCTATAAATTTGCTTTCCAAATAATTAAATACATTTTAAAATGTCTTGAGCGTTTTTATATTTATATAGTCAACGAGGATCTATATTTTTGTAGGTGCCACTGTGACCCACTGCTTTATACTTGCATTGGTAATTATTTTCACTGGCGTAACAAGGCCTAAGCTGGTATCATAAATAAAATCCATTATCCAGCCAAATGGCAATTAAGTCAAGGAAACAGTCGCCGCTCGATAAGAAGGTTGTCGCTTTTTCCTCTCCCAATTTTAGTGCTTTCCCATGGAAATGAGTTGCAATCAGGAAAAAAAATAGCTGCAAGCGAGGGCAAGGGACATAACAATGGCAAAACGATGCAAAAATGTTAACACGAATTAGCCAGAAAGTATGCAGAGATGCGAGATGGCAACAGGAAGCGGATGCAATAAACAATGCACCAGCAGTCATAAAAAAAGAGACTTGGGACGTGATGCCTCTATTGAGAGTCCTTCGAGGACCTGCAATTGCGGAAAGTTTGCACCGAGGGAAAAACAACGTTTTAGAAATAACACTCAAAGGACAATCAAACTAAACCCGTTAAGAGAGATAATAATCTGTTTTACACTAGTTAGCTCTACGAATTTTTAAAACACAGAAATTCATTTATATGTCATTAAGGTAAATACATATATTTTTAAACAATTTTTTTTTAAGTGCAATTTATTTAATGCAATTTCTTAATATTTAAGATACCTTTTAGTCAATTAATTCAGATTTCGTGTTTTAAACTTTTTTCTGTGTGGAAATGAAAGCAGATTGTAATAAAAGCGATTACAGCGGGAGTGAAGAAAAACAGGAATTATATGCACAAAGGGGTGCTTGGAAGTGGGCCACTTGATCCGAGATGTTTAAGCACTTGACACTGCCCTGATCCTTTCCTATATGCCATATTCTCCATTCTGATGTGACACATTTCCAGCCATTTCCACAAGTCAGACTAACGATATGTGACACTTGCCCAGATACGAACACACTAACAAACGCTTGCCAACAAAAATTGGGATTATGCAAATGAAGTAAGGGGCCCTTCGAAATTCATAAACATTTAATATTTTATGGAGCATTCATGAACATTTAGGCGGCACTGCAAGTGTCGAATACATGCGTATGTGTGTTGTGTGTTTGCCTGAAACAATTGCCGGTTGTTGTTGCCATTGTTTGTTGATGCTGCCTGCATATTTATTTGTTGTTTTCTGCGCAACACTAAACGCAGGACACACTTACAAACATATAGAAGATATGTACAAACATAAAGTAAATATACACAGAGAGAATCATTTCATAAAATCTGTATTCAAGTACAAATTGATTGACAATTGAATAGTTCTGATCTTAGCTCCAAACTTTCGTATTATTATATTTTAAATAATTATTAAGCACGTTGGAGCGCGAAACATTTGCGTCTTAAATTTTTTAGTGTACTTACAACTATATGAATATCAAAGTGTCTTGCATGAATTTCATGTGCTCCATTGGTGACATTTTACTTGTCATTGTTGCGTGCTGAATAAAAGATGAGCAGCAACAGAGCCTGACCGCCTGGAGAATTTTCGTGCTGAAGAAATGGAAAAGGGGGAAATCTAAATGATTATCGCCGGTGAAATGCAATTGCTAATCACCCAATTTGGTTGCACGATTCAATCGGAATAAGAACAGTATAAAATGGAATAAAATGAGGGCGCAACTGCCATTCACGCAATTAACTAACTCGGCCCGAATGGCACTAAAGCTTTTATCTTATTATCCCGTCGAAATACCCAAAGCGCTGAACGGAGAACTCTGACAAGCCAACACAAACAAATGAAGCCGGCAAGATGGCAAATAGTCAAAGGACCGCTGGAAAAACAGAAGGCAACCAAAAATGTCCGCAGGTCCTTCAGCGGAAAAAAAGGAAAACAAACCGCTTGCACAGCGAGAAAAGCGCATTATGTCCTTTTCTTGCGTCCCTCTACTTGTCTCTCTTTCGTTCGCTATCTCTCTCCTGTGGCCGCTTTGTTATTTCGATTTTATTCTCTAACGATTTTCCGCCTTTGATTGCGCACCTTTTTCTAGTTTTACCATTTGGTTTTCACCCTTCCACTGTACCGTACCGACGGTGTTATAAATATGAGCAAACATTTCACAAGATATCCTTAATTAAAGCAATTTCCCTTTTGGTGGAAAAGAACGAAAGGACGAAAGGACGTCCAACGGCAAGACGGTTGCGTGTGCACCGGCTGGAATGAAATTTGCAGAAGGGATAGCCAAAGGAAATAAGCTGCCGTGGCCTCGCCATAAAGGTGCGACCGAAAAACGCTGGCACAATGACCTGTTACGCACACTTACAGGCTGCCACAGATACACACACTCACATTCACCCCACACACACACACCCGCGGGGCAAAAGGGTTAAGAGCGAATCTTCGTGTGGCCATTAACTTGAAATTTTTAACGGGAGCCGCAAAGCGGGAGCCAGGGTTGCCAGGATTTCGGAGGGGTCACGTGGCCCGCCATTGTTACCGCTCTCTACTTATTACTCCATCTCATACTACTTCTCCTGATCCTGCCTTGGTCTTATTTTAATATCCTATCTGGGTATACTTTGGTTGTTTTCAAAATATTTTACATTTGTTAAAGGACAGAATTCTGGTAAGTTAAATGAAAATCATTAATAAATAATTCATTAAATTTCTATGTTTGTAAGCCAAGATTTTTTTTGAGATAAGTTTAGAAATGTTCAAAATAAATTGCTTAAATACAAACTTCGATCAGGTCCCTGCCTTCCCTGTAGTTTTAGTTGAGTAAGAGATCCATGAAGTAAGCAGCTCCGCAGCTTTTGTCTCCCGGTTTCGATGTGGTTCTCCCCTTTATTTTTAGCCCATCGTCAAAGAGAATGGAGAAAAGCGGAGAAGGAAAGAGAGAGAGACAGAGAGAGAAAAAGGGGCGTGGCGGCGCTTTGTTCGTAAGCCCCCATTTTCACAGTTCCCGCGCCGCCCCTTTTCACCTCGCCTTAATCCGGCGGGTATGTCCTTGCACAACATCCTTTGCATTGTTTGCGCTATAAATACACGATGCTGGAGGTGCGCAGCGAATGAAATACCAACAACAGGAGCACAACAACACTCCACGCCAACAATATAAGCAACAGCCACAGTCGCCCACGCACAATAACAACAACTGCTTATCCTTGGGGTCTTCGACGTTGTCGCACAGGATGCACCGCTTATTTATCGCATTTTTATGTGAAATAAACGATTCGGAATTGGCTACGTTAAACATTAATTTTATTGTGGGGGAAATTGAGATTGCACAACGAAACAACAAGCTCGAAAGAGAAACAACTTGCTTAAAAAGTTTCAGTTGTCCTCAAATTGATTTCGGTGGATATTCTAACCAACTACTAAATATCGATAATATCTGATCCTTAACTACGTATTTCAATATGTAAAACCTAACATAATGAGGAACTAACTGACAAATAGGCAGTCAAAGTTGATCAATAACAACTTATAATGATTTTTGTGTTTTGAATATTTAATCACAATTCTCAGCTTTCCCACACCTGAATACTACTACTAGCAATTTGTACGATTGTTACTACCAGGTATAAAAATAAAATGAAAAAATAATAGTAAATTTCACGCTTGGGTAAAATAAATATTTGTATGCACAAGAACATAATACAATTATTTCTCCATGAACTTATTTTAAAATATTATTTTAGTTGGTATTGAGATCAGCGGCAAGATAGTCGCAAGATGAAGAAAAAAAAAGTATTAATTGTACTAAGCCTAATACTGAGCTTAGTCGGACAAACACTTCAAGATGAGCCAAAAGTTTCAACTCCAGAATCAGCAGCAACATCTGAACCACCTGCAGCTGCCAAGGAACCTTCTAAGATCAGTGAGCCGGAGTCCTCAAATAAAGCCACCGCATCCAAGTGCAAATCCACCGAAGTTCTATCCGAGAATGGCTGCGTGGATCGCGAGTTCTTCCTGAACCGGATCATCATGCGATCCTGGAAGGACGATGGATTCGAAAAGGCAAAGGCGAGGGCCGGCCTGGTGGACAATATGCAGTGCAGGGAAGACGAGATCAGGACACCTTTTGGATGTGAAAAGCCTCGGTTAGCACAGCACAGGGAATTTAATCGAGTTAAAGTGCTCCACAGTAGACTAGAGCGCGACAAGGTGCGACACGGCGGCTATGATTATACATTAAGGCACTCAGGGAACGACGGAGAGCACAAAGTTATTAAAAGACCTAGAAAATTGGGGCCTCCAATAACTGGTACCAATCGGCCACGGACGTACGTATTCATGCCTGGCAGAACTCTAAGAAAAGGACGCAAGTGCCGAACTAATGAGGTGACTGGAAGAGGGAGTCGCTGCATTCACAGAAGGCGACATGTAAAAACGACAGCTGAAGAAGCAAGCAATGAGAACTCACTCATGAGAACGCACCAAAAAAGAGTAGGGTAATTTGTTGGTTAAAATATAAAATAATTTTTATTTAGATTTTTAGTTATTCTGCATTTAGCTATAGACATCAGGAACTTCGAATGAAACCAGTAACTTTTTTCACCTTTTCATATACAAATGTATTTAATTAATCATAGACCTTAAAACTGTATAACCATTCTTAGAGAAGATTTTGTAAAATAAAGGAAAAACTTTTTCTCAAGTCATAGATATCTTATATTAACTTTAAATTATAGCATGTTAAAGGTTTTTGTGACGGTGGAGCATAACAAATGAATTGCTTAGGTGGGGACGTAATGCGTTCCACTTAATTTCAATATTTCAGTCTGTTTAGTCTTGCACTCCAAGATGCAGAGTCATCGTAGCTTTTGCGGCCTGTTTATCATTTTAAGTTTTTTCTCGCTAACTGTTCAAGATGAAGCCAAAACTGAACCGCCTTCGGCACCTGCACTACCAGCAACACCAGCGGCACCTGCACCACCTGCAGCAGCCCAGGAACCTTCTGAGGTCAGTAAGCCGGAGTCTTCAAATACACCTGCCGCATCCAAGTGCAAGTCCACCGAAGTTCTATCCGAGACTGGCTGCGTGGATCGCGAGTTCTTCCTAAGCCGGATCATCATGCGATCTTGGAAGGACGACGGCTTCGAAAAGGCAAAGGCGAGGGCCGGCCTGGTGGACAATATGCAGTGCCGGGGTAACGAGGTCAGGACTCCCTTTGGCTGTTCGAGCCGACCGTTACCACCGCACAGGGAATCAAATCGGGTGGGAGTGCATCACAGCAGTTTGAATCACGACCAGGTGGTGATCTCCTATTCCGGTTCGAATGCACGCAGTGTTCGCCACGAAAATGGCATGGAAAAGAAACCATCTTACTCGGGACGCCCTTTTTCCGCGCATAATCGTCCCCGTAAGAACTACATCCTGCCGGGCCGCTTGCTCCGAACTTTTCGTAAATGTCGACCTTATGAGACACTCGGAAAAGACGGTCAATGCCATCGAAAAAAGGGCATAAACGGAAATTACAAACACAAGGATCACGTATATGGACTTCAAAAGAGACACCGCCATGAAGCACATAGGGAATCCTCGACCGATTGAGATGATTGCCGAATAGGTTTGTGTTAGTCTAGTAGAGAATATAACAAAAACTTCTGGCCACCTTTTGTAAATAAAAATGCTCAATATTTAGGTCTTAAAAGTTTTATTCTCAGCACTCTCAATATTCCAAATTTTCCAAGCTCCACATTACTGTCCATTAGATTTACGTACGTTCGTACGTAACCCTCAAATGTGGCAGCACATTAAGTGGTCCTTTGCTTCTGACAAATTTAATTTAATTTTATATTGTATGTGCTGGGTCGTTTTGTTTTACGACGAACGAGCAACCTCTTTCTTGGGGCCCATTGAGAGCAAATTAGTTGCTCGCCTTAAGTCCGAGCCAGTGACAAAGGATTAATCAAAACAGATAGATGTGTCCTTTAAGGCTCACAATATGTTGCAAACATGGAAGGGGATTATGAATATAAAAGCTTCATTAAATAGGATTTGCGCCTTTCGGGTTGGCTCTTCTTTTCAATGGAGGCAACACTTTGAAATGGCTTCGACATAGCAATATGGATGGCTTTGACATGCTAATTAGTTAACCTCGCACGCCTGTGTGCTTGTGCGTTTGGGACCACATTGCTCATACGCAGCGTTTTACAGACCCTCGGCGCGGCAGCTAAGTGGCTGCTGTTTGCTTCGGGCGGTGCCCAAAACATGGTGAATAGTTTTGCAATAATTACATTACACGGCAGTTTCAGGCTCGGCCCGCCCGAAAGAAAGTCACACGTGGCTGACGCTTGGTTCGAGTGGAAACTCTGATGACTTCCGTCTACACAGAGAAAATTGTCATCTTTTTCGAATATATATGGCCTTTTAAAACATTCATGTTTACATATTTATTTATGATGTAAAATCTTTAACCACAAAATATCTTGTTTATCAATCTTATTTAATTTATATCTTATTTTTGTTCAAAATATTTGTAAGTTCCTCATGATTAAATCTTAGTTTTTGAGCACGAAACGAAAACTTATATAATAAAACAAATATTTGAATTAGCTATTCATTTGATATTCTGCCACTGTGTGCAAGTGCCAGCTCAATGGGCAACTGATGTGGAGATGAACGCGGCTGCTTCGACGGCATTAATCATGTTCGGAGGTAATTAGCAATTAATAACGTTTTGCAAAACTGTAAATTTATCGCCTGCTGCTTCGTCTTAGGAATTTCCCATCATAAATTACGTTTCCTGGCTTATGAATGAAGTGAAAAATGATCCGGTGGCCATTCAATGTCTCTTGCTATCGAATGCAACTTCCGTTTTATTCCAGTTGACTTTTGGCTCTTTTGTTGATTTGCTTTTCAGAATATATGACATATATAGATGTATAAAGCTGGCAGTTGCATCTTGTCACAAACATAAAGTTAACTTAATTGATGGCTTAATCGATGACTGCCTTAATTGCGGCCAATGCAGTCGAATTTATTTCTTAGCTTGAGTTGTGTGTAATACGTATATCTATGTATGATTATATATTATTGAAGTTACTTTATTACATTTAGCAAAATGACTGTTTGTATTCTTCTTCATCTGGAATCACCAGGTAGGCATTCAAATTAGTTGGTAATTGAGGGTCTAATGATACACCATAAAACATTTTTGGCACTAAGGCATTGAAATGCGCTAGAGTAATCTCGTCCTTTTTGAAGTTTGCCAGTACATCATGATTTTTTCTTATGTGGATGCGAGAAATGCCGACATCCTGTTCAAAAGTACTTTTTCGATTCCTCATTTCCAATGACAATTTAAAGATTTCTGGCTCATGTCGAACATACTCAAGATGTTGCCTCACCATAGCCAAAGAGTCGGCAAAGGATACGTACATAGTATTTGAAGCCATATTGTGCAAGATAGTCAATTGAACTGGATTGAAAGTTTTGGAAAGCTTTTTTTTTATTTATATGAATTTTCTTTCAGACAGAAATATTCAAATTACTTATGATAGGTTTTTTCAGAGATTTTTGAATTGACTTACAAAATTTGGCCTTCTCATAAACACAAAAAATTATACTTCAAATCAAATCTTTGATTTCATGTGGATTTTGGATATTTATTCAACAACGAGTAAAATTCAAAATAAATAACATTTAAAATTTTTTGATTTATAGAAAAAAACCAAAATAATTCTAGCTTTGACTGCGTCAAGGTTTTCAAAAACTTTTTATTCACTTATTATGAAGAACTATTTATTGCGAGAGTATTAAAATTTGCTTTCTTATTTTCAATAAAATATAGACTTGGTCGTAATATCTGAAACCATTTAAGTCGCATTCAGTCGGACAAATGTCGCACAAAATTTATGGTCTCGCTGCGAAAGCATCGCGTGAAATTGGCTTCTAATTGCCGGCAAATGAAATGTCACAGACTTTGGCAGACTGAATTCTAGAGGGAGATATATGTTTATAAATTTGGAATGATGGGGAAAATCAGCCGAATCTCATTTCGATACACTTCAGTTGATTTGCTTGCGGCCAGGGGGCAGAGCAATATAAATTTCCATTTAAAATTAGACTTGGATTTTGAAGTGGTTTGCCAAATCTTGTCATAAATTCCACAGCCAATTTGAGTAAATTAGTGCAGTGATTAGTGGTCCGGTTCTCTTTTATTTATTAATGCATCAGTAAAGAATTTATTTATAGACGAGCACCGCATCATTCAGCTAGCAACATTGCCGCTTCCAATCGCATTTATTGGGACACTCTTCTGTGTTGCTGTATTGCCGGAATTTATGCGTCAATGCACCTGACGATAAAAGGCGAACATGTCGCACTTGAAGTGGCGAAAAAAGTGCGAGTAGTAGTAATACACGCAAAAGGCACACTGCACATGGCAGTGGCACTCGTTTTATTTACACGACAAGTGGCAATTACAAAAATCCGCCGGCAGTAATTCTCAATTCTCTGCACGTGAAGTGGCATTAAAATGTTGCCATTTTTATTTATATTTGATTCGACAACTCTTGGGAATCAGTTGTACAGATAAATTCGATTGTTTCCTACCTAAATTCCAAATTATATTCCCCAATAATTGGTTCGCTTTGATTTCTGCTTATTGAACATGGCCTCGGCATGCGTTTGAAGATTTTTCGCCTCAGTCGTTGGGCATATCTCTTGGCCAATTCAGATCAGCAGCAGATGCAGCCGCTTTTATTACTTTATTGATGCAACTGTTTACATATGTAATTAAGTTATCAGCCCAGTAAATGTGTTGATGATGTGAACAAATTTATTTGCCATAATATTTGCATGTGTTTAAGCCGAGTATTTTATTTTTTTGTAGCTACCCATTGTTGTTATTACCATGGCCGAGATTCGTAGGATGCTGGACCTGGGGCTAAAGCACTCGGTTATATTTATGCTGTTGCCGTATTGTTGTCGGAATTAAATCGGCAAACATGACACTCCAAAAAATAATAAAGCAATCAGTTAAGCGCAGCAACTGTGCCTGTAATTATATAAATTGTTTGCTTATGCCAACGAAACTGCCTTTTGTGTTCGTATGTTTGCTTATTTATTTATTCGCTCAGTTCGAGTGTGCGAGTGCAATGAAATTTTATGAGCTTATAGTTGTGCTAAGCATTAAATTAAAATATGCACCAATGTTAACAAGCGCCTCGGTTGATGTCTGTTGATTGCAATAAAGGCTCGCTCGTAAACGCTTGTTACGCATACGCCCTGTCATGCAGGGACCTCAACGACAAACGACATTTTGCCTAGATGTTGTCAAACATGGCCAGACAAGGAGCGACGGGCAGAAACACCTCACTCATTGGCCAAAACTAGTGGCTGGGAGCAGGGGAAGCGGAACGCCTCACACCAGTGGTGACAGCTATATATCTCTTATAGCCGATAACTCTTTGAAAGTTTGGTAAGTTAAGTAAATAAATCTCTAAAAAGTTTTTAATTTTCAAAATATTTAAAATCAATTTTTAATCAAAAAAACCGGACTCTTTACGATAACTTTTGTTAATAAAATGTAATATTTTTGTTAGCTTGAAAGTTTAAGTGATAAAAGTAAATCATAAAATAAAATAAAATGTCAAAACTGTCATCTCTGATGGATTCTTACCCTCTGGCACTTGTTCCATTTTGTAGTTGGATTGTGGGCGTTTAAGAGCTCGTCTCTCCATGGACACTCACTCGAACTGAAACACCGATACGTGGACTGTCCCCGATCCTTGTTCCTGTTCCTTCCGCCTTCCGCCGTGCTCCGTACTCCGTGTTCCGTGTGGCTGTGCAGATAATGCTGATGATTTTGATGTTCGTGTCATTGTCGTTCGAAAGCGTTATGCGTGACGAAACGGAAGCTCTTAAAAGGCACAATGAATAAACGCTCGAAACGAGGCCAAAAGCCGCCCAAAAAAGCAGCCCCAGTGCGACTGGTGTCTGATTTCTGGCAGGCAGTGTCCTGCGGTTCGCCATGGCACATTAAGAAGGACTCTGGTTGTAAATTCTCTCTGTTTTATGTGCATTTCGTTACGCCCTGATGCCGCCGCCGCTCTTCTTGGCCGGAAACTCCGGCTCCGACGACTCCGGGTCCGGGTCCCAGGCAATCGCCACGCCCCGCAAATATTTCCGCAGGAAAATAAGCCGGTGGTCGGGGAATCATTATTTTAATTAGATGCGAGTGTGCCCGGTCGAATGGTGGTGCTGCGTCAAGCGGATCTCAGGACAGCTGCTCCACATTATTTAATTAAATTAAGCCAGAACCTCTGTCAAGCGCCGTGTGCCGGGAGTAAAATGCATTGTTAATTTAGCCAATTATAAAATTCAATTTGACATATAAGCTATAAGCTTGGATTTATTTGTTTGTTGTATAATAATGTTTTACAAAATTTTATCCACTGTGCGGCATTAGCATAATTTATAAGCATTATTCACACATATTGGCAGCATATTTTTTGGGGCAAACATTCTAGCAGCCAATGGCTTAGCTGCCATTTAAGTATCAATAATCACTAGGCCCGTTGACCGTAGAGCCATTGCTCACGCCATTTCTGTTCAGGACTGAGACATATTGTTCGCAGGCCACTCACTTCCACCTCTCCGGCCGTAAAAAATCACCGACGGATGGAGTCTATCTG